GGCGTGGAGTTCCCCTACCTTGTGTTTGTACTTGATGTGACACGAGTTCCCCCATGTCTGTACTTGATGTGACGCGAGTTCCCCTATGTGTGTACTTGATGTGACACGAGTTCTCCTATGTCTGTACTTGATGTGACAAGAGTTCCCCTATGTCTGTACTTGATGTGACACGAGTTCCCCTATGTCTGTACTTGATGTGACACGAGTTCCCCCATGTCTGTACTTGATGTGACGTGAGTTCCCCTATGTGTGTACTTGATGTGACGTGAGTTCCCCTATGTCTGTACTTGATGTGACATGAGTTCCCCTATGTGTGTACTAGATGTGACGTAATTCCCCTACCTCGTGTTTGTACTTGATGTGACGTTCCAGGTGGATCTTCTGACGGAAGCACAGGCCACAGATGGTGCACTTGTGTTGGCGGATATCCTCGTGGATGCCCATGTGTCGCTTGAGGTTGCTGCTGGTGCCCGCCTTGTACTTGCACACCGGGCAGTTGTGGGGCTTGGAGCCTGGACAAAACATTGGAGTGAACATCTTAGTTCAGTAACTTCTCTCTGTAAGACTTGTAGAAAGGCCTCAAGATACACAACATTGGAGTGAACATCTTTGTTCAGTACCTTCTCTCTGTAAGACTTGTAGAAAGGCCTCAAGATACACAACATTGGAGTGAACATCTTAGTTCAGTGCCTTCTCTCTGTGAGACTTACACAACATCATAAATAATAAAACACTGACTTGATAAAAAGTCGATTTGTCATTGAATGATTAGGTTTTTTAACACGGCTATCTGAAGAGATAAGAAATCTTTACAAATCAAACAAGAATGATTGTGATTGTTCTATCTTATACCCACATCAACACACTTCAAACCAGGCAAAAAAAAGACTACCATATTTTGCTCCTGTCTCTGCGGACCAACCCTGATGGAATGGCACACAATATCCTCGCAGACAGACAGAACAACTCCACAAAAACAATGTTCCCAAAGTGAGGTCCAAAACTGAACTGATGCCGCTGCCATACAAGATGAGGAGCAAAATCACGTTCTATGTGACATACAGCATTCAAGAACGAATGTCAAACCTCTTTAGAAAAACGTTCATTATGTAACTTAGAGGTCTCTTATCAGAAGTCAAGGATACTTTAAAATGAACAAAATTTAAACAAATAAAAAAAGCATGTTGAATTAAAAAAGATCCTGACAGCCTCCATCTGAGCTTTGCCGCTAGTTGAGCTGAAGGCGGACGGACTGACCTGTGTGAAGTCTGCGGTGCTTGTAGAAGTTAGCCTTGCGGTCCGTCTTGTAGTTACACTTGCCGCAGCAGTAGAGGCCGTTCTCGTTCACCACACACGAGGTGGCCGCCGTTCTGGGCTGACATGTGGACAGACAGTGACAGTTAGGACACACCTTATCTTCAGTTGTGTCATTTAGCGGCGCTACGTCCCAATGAAACCAACTGAGAAAGGAGAAACATGCAGAGTTGAAGTGATGAAGAAACACTTTGCTAGCATCACCTTATCTTCAGTTGTGTCATTTCCCGGCGCTACCGCACCTGTTGGAAAAAGAAAGCCAAGCACCTCGGTTCCTTTGCTGAATAACAAGGGAGGATACGGTCAAATGGTACGTCAGAAACATTGGCTGAAGTATCATTACAACAACTTACATAATTTTCTAATTTCTGAGAAGAAGGGAGTTATGGAAATGTAATTCCAACCCCCC